TAAATTGATCGTCCTTAGGTGTCGTGGCCTACGTGGATATTCGATCCCCTTTTGGAAACCCAGCTTTTGTATTATCACGGCGTCTAATTTCACTTGGCGCAACAGTCGAAACAACTCGCAACGCCTGCGTTACTCACGTTATCTTCCATTACGGAGACCCTATGACAAAACTCTGGGCTGAAAAGCGCGGATTGTACATAGTAGCCCCGGCCTGGGTTAAAGCTTGCGTAGAACAAAAGGTACGACGACTATTCATTTCTTCATTTCTAAGTGTCGAGTTCCGGAAGCTTGCTATTCCTTGAAAGACAAAGAAGATGTTGGCTTGGCAGACGACTGCGATCGTATTACTTCTAGGAATGTTCCTCCTGTTAGAAGGGAACCGGTATCTGATTCCCACTCCGGATTTTCACATGTCCTGCGTTCTGCTACCATTAACAGTCCTCTGTCCTGTCCCAAGTCTCCGCTTACCGTCGAGGTGGACTCCTGGAGAAAAAGAACGTGTGAAACTGCTTTGTCTTCACTTGAGCCTTGTAAGTATTTCCTTCGTTTTCTACTTTGAACTGCTTATATTCTCCCCTTCAGCTCATAGTAGCAATGGATTGTTCTCCAAATCCTATACTGCGATTTCTCCTCCCGGCTTTACTATGACAAAGCCTCCTCCAGGTTGGATGCGTCTTCCATCTCCACCACAGGAAGTTGCGAATCTGCCTCTGCCTCTTTTTCCTGAAGATGATACTCTCACGCTGGAGACCCAGCCGCGCCCTCCGGATTTCATTGGCCCTCTTACTCTCTCTCGCATGCCCCTTTCTCCTGACATGCTTCACTTCGTCGTTCGTAATTTTGCCTCGTCCACCACAGTGATGAAGAAAAATCAGGTGTCTAAAAGCCAAAAGTTGGTACCTTTGTCACCCGTCAGAGTGACTCCCAGTCAGGAAAAAAAGATTATTTGCAAGACACCCACGCAGAAACAGAGGAGGCGGAATAGGTCGCCAAGGTCTCGGCCACTACTGCGTCGACAGCTTCTCGGACCTCATAACGGTCCCCCAAACGCCTCCGACATCTGTGGGTCAAGAAAGAAGGCTTTGAAAAACGATCAGGAAGGGGCTTGGGGGCAAAAAACGCAGCAAAAGAGGATGAAGTCAGTTGAGGTTGTGGCTCAACCAAGACGGAAGTCTCTGCGGCTTTTATCGAGGGCAGCTAATCGTCTTGGTTCGGTAATGGATCCGTCTGGAAAAGGTGTGGCCACCACTTCAAAATCAATTGCCATCGACTCGGCGACTAGTTTGAAGTCTCCAAAAGTGAACACCTTTGTAAGTATGACCGGTTTTGGTCTAAGCTACTGATAGTAACTCTCTGTCGTCTATCATGAAACTAGGTTTCTGGACTCAAGCTTGAATTTAAAGTAGCATACTTCGCATTTTAGTCTTCCAGATCGCGAAACAGTCTCGAAGATTTTATCGACCCAAATAGTAAGTATAGATGTTACGATTCCTATGTTATTGTTGCACTTCCAACCGCTTAATGTTTAGGTTTGCAACCACGTCGCTGCACAAGAGCCTCAGTCTTGTCACAAAATCGGCCGGTTGAAATTCTCTTTTCTGGCTTAAACGCTTTGTAAGTCATGAATTGTGATGCCTTGTATGCTGCTTCAAAATTATTTATTTACTTATTTGCTTTTCGGTTGGGATAGCAGTTTTAACCAATCACGCAAGTTCGAACTCGTCTTTCCTTAAATTGGACATGATTTTGTTTCTATTTCTACCTTCTGTGTAGGAGTTTGATTCCGGTCATTTCATTATATCGACCGACCTCTGAAGTCGTTGATTCAAGACTTAGTTGTATCGCTTTCAATCTAGCCAAAGACAGACTCTCGTCGCACTGCTTCGCTCAAGCACTGGGCTCAGCAAGCACGAGGTGGCACCAACGCTGAATAACAGACTCTGTGGCAGTGGTGGTGTAGGTGATATTCCCTTTGACCAAAGAAGTCCCAGGGCTTTGGTGCTGGCAGCCATTCTTGGCACAGAAGAGGAATCATTGAAACAGCGATGGCGCCTTGCGGACATCTTCAGCACTCACACTACCACACACCTTGTCTCTACCTCACCTTTTCCGCGTACGATCAACCTCTTCAAGGCTGTCCTCTCTTCTGTTCCGGTGGTCGACACAGCTTGGATTGTGGAGTCAGCGAAGGTTGGCAAATGGCTTCCCTTCAGGCACTTTCTTGTAAGCCTTCTCAACATGACCCAGCGTGTATGAAGTGTAGTTGCTCCTTTCCATCTTGATTAACAACGTTTGGATAGCTTCATGACTCGGCCACGGATTATTTGTATTAGTAAGTGGCCAGATTTGCTCTTCACTGTTGTGTGTAGTATCACTACAACAGCGTCCCATGTGTTGAGACCTTAGTGCTCTCCTCTCAACAATTTTTGGAGCCTACTGGTCTCTTAGGTATAATGCAAAAGGTAACGCAGGTTCATCCCTCTGGTGTTAAATTTAGGCATACGAGTGAACCCTTTTGGCCATCTTACTGACATTAATGCCATTCTCTGCACACTTTTGAACTTTTAGCATCAAACCGAGCCATAAACGTCACCAAAGGTTCTCATTTGTAGGTTATTCTGCGTCCAATTTTAATCAACAGATCCATATAATTTTGCATTATTTAGAGTAATCTACTCGAACGTAATTTGCGTATATGTTGAGTGTGACTGCATTTTGAACACTTCCTTCCAATTGTCTGCTCAAGCTCTCAGTACTCTGTCACCTTACAACTCCACTTGTACTTCACTCGGGGGGTCTCCATAATCGGGTTCTATGATGTCTTTTGACAATTGAAATAGATAGCGCTTTTTCATTATCGTTGTCATTCTGTTTCATCCATTGGCTGAAGACATCCCACCTTAAACTATTGACGCTCATGCTGAGTCCTTTTCGGCGTTAGTTTAAAAGGCTCGCAGAACTTATCTTAGTGGTTCACGATGCCGCTCTTTGAATTTGTTTTTTGAGGAATCTTATGAAGTGTTATTCAACTGTTTCCGAGCTCATCACGTCACTATTGTCTTGCCTTTGTGGAACTTTTCCATCATGCATACTAGCCTAGTTATGAATGAAATGTCTGTTCTCATTTTTCTGCCACCTAGATCCGAGGTCTACCTTCAGCTAGGGCTGCTAGTAAACTGCAGAAGCTCTTTTCAACAGTTGGCTGTGTTTTTGTGGCTGCTGGTACTTCTCCTTCTCCTAGCGATCTCAAGGATCTCATTATCATGGGTGGAGGCTCGGTAAGTCTTAAAATACTTCTTTTGAATATTCAGTAAAGGCGATGTTCATTTAACAATGATAGGAAGTTTAGCTGTCATTCATTGTCTTCCTGGTGGGAGTGTTCTAAAGGAGGTCTTTGTGCCCTTTCTTTTTGCAGGTATCCAAAAGAGCAGTTGGAGCGAAATTGATTGTGGGTCAGAAAGACGCCAATAAACCCAGCGTTTCCCCGAAATGGGTTTTAGGTGAGTAATTCACAACTTTTGGGGTTCCTGTGAGTTTCCTCTCCTCCCTATTGAATCCATTGTTCAAGGACTTTTTGTTTACAAGCCTTTTCCTCCTTTCAGATTCAATTCTACGTCAGAAACTACTGCCTTTCTCGAGATACCGAGTTACGGAATGAAATTGATTTCCCTCCTTCCTCCCGTAGATTTAAAAATTCCGCTCCTATTAATATTTTGTACTTGACAGAACGTACTTTGTGTGTACATTAAATTTATAGCTGCAATTGCTCTGCTTTTGTTTTTGCCTTCTGTTTGCTTACTTGAATCGCATCAAGGGGTGACTAGTGTGGGGATTTGTGTGGTGCGTTTAAGTCCTCAGTCTTGTTAGCCTTTCCTTGGGGGCCTCTTGATGCAGACGTTATGTAAGTATGCCAGTGATAACTGAGATGGCACTCATCACCACGTCTGCCTTGGGAAGACATGGTAGATGCTGATATGCCTTGGGACATCTGTTTCGTTGCTAGCGTTCACCATCGATTAATTGAAGGGTCGCTGAGGTGTGACCATCTCAGACTGTTGGTCAAAAGCTGCAATTTTCTTACTTCAGGTTCATCTGTATAATGAAATTTCGAGTACGCTCAAATGACAGCGGATCAATCGACTACTTTGCAAGTAAACATCTCGTCCCTGTTTTAGTTTTTTGCCTCCCATTGAAGATCATCGCTTAATCCCTTTGCAGACACTATCCATGTTTTAGCCAGTCTGGCCAAGAACTGCGTCCTTCGCATCAGGAAGGACAGTATGAGCTTCATTATCCGTGAACACAGTACTCAAGGCGGGGCTGAGATCTGGTGTGAACTCGATCAGGTCAGTCCAGTTTCTGTCCTCCCTCCTCGTGATCATTAGATTAGGTTTGAAGTGTCCCGTTTTTTGACAAGCAAGTATCATATTCTTCATTTGAGTAAGGAACTATGCTTTGTCATCAAGACAATTTAAAAAGATAGGACGAAGAATTCTATCATCCACTCTTCTTGTGACTGTACTCAGACAAACGTCTTCTCCGAGTGCATCTGTGAGGGTATCTCACCAGAACAGGATGAGATCTTTCTTGAAATAATCCCTGAGGAAATTATGCACTGTTTGAGGGGTGTGAGTAACAGCGCCTTCTCTAGTGGTGCTGGCAGTGTCCTCACTTCCCAGTCTCACACCACTGTGGGCAGCTCAGGCGTGACCTTGCCACGAGGTCAAACAACTCTGCACAACTTCGTCAGCACTGCACGCGGTCTCAAAATCAAGTTGGTGCGCCGCAAGACGCCCTGCCTGGCGTTGGAGGTGGAACAGGTACAGTGTTCCCCTATTTCTTGGACTTACTCACTCAAAATGTTGTCCACTATGCTTTGCATACCTTGAAATCTGACTGGTAGAGCAAAGTAATATTTCCGATCTAGTCAAGTAGATGGAAAGTCGGCTCTTGACAATTGACTAAGGAGAGTTATCACGGAAAGTTCCATCAAAACAATCTTAAACCCAATGAAATGGCTCTTTATTGCATCAACGCTTTCATTATCCTCTAGAACTCTGCTTTATTATCGTTGACAGGGTTGAATCAATTAGTTAGACACATATCTTAACCTCTGTTGGGTTGAGATAAATGAACCTCCTCTTTGGGATTGATTTAGGCTAGCATTAGCGGTCGTTCACGTGCTGTGTGGCATTTCGTTCCTGTCCACATTCTTCCCCTCCGTCTGTGGTCCGACTTTGAGGAAACGCCGGATCCAGATTTTGACGTACGTCCTGCCTTTCCCACTCATTCTCCTTTTGTTGAGGTTGATACTTACAAATGACTGGCTTTTTGCACCTTCTTCCTCAGCTGAGCATCTTCCTTCCTCCTGTAAAGAATCTCCGACTCTTTGTGGATCGCATGAAGCACTTTGCAAGATTCCTTGTAAGTCTTTGCCTTCAACGCCTTCCACTCATTCTCATCATTTTTGCTTGATAATGCACCATTCGAGGGAGGAAGTGAACGAGTAGACGAGTGAAATCACTACTTTCTAGAGGTCACAATGAAACGTTTTCCAGGCCTGAGGCTAGTTGTTTGTCTCATGGCAGGCGATTACGGTTTGAATAGAAATAGGGAATAGTTAAGAACGCGGTCATTCTAGACAGGTAATCCTGTGGATCTTCAAAGTCCCACCTCCAGCGTCAGTTTGACTTCACCTAATCTCTTATCCCGACTATTTATTGCGGGCAATCTCGTCTCTTCCACTTTAGGTATCACTGCATTAATAATCATGTTGTGACACAAACCTCGAGCTTTGAGTGCCTATGAGTTAGTTATTATGGTTGTAAACTCCTTTGCATGTCCCAGAACCCATAATCAAACGCAACTATCTATCAGGGAGTAAAAGTGATGATCACATCCCACCAATGCGGTCATAGGTCAGTTTGAAACCCCACTGGCATGGAAGTCAAATCATGGGAGTGATATAAACGAGTCACACTAAAAACCGGTTTCACTGTTTAGGGTGTTCAATCATTCACTTGTGTTAAGGGTCCTCAAAGAAAGTACGGTAAAGGATCATGTTTTTTAAACTATTACTTTTCTCACAGACAATCAGAGCGACTGGTGGTGGTGATCTCTACTTGGAGATTAACATGGAGACTCTAGCACGCGTGCGACTGACGTTTAAAGGTCTGCGAGCTCGTGACTGGCACCTCCCGGAGGGAGCGGAGCCCAATCCCAAGGAGTCTGCTTCCACTTCTCCCACTTCCTTTTTTGCCACCATCGATATTCGTCGATTCAGTCAACTTCTGTCTGCACAACGCGTTCAGCCTAGTTGGTTCGTCTGCAGTGAGTTCCTCTACCATCTTCATTCTGTTTACATAACTATGAGCTCCTTTCATACACCTTAAAAAAATTAATAGCTGGTTGTAGTGACATTTGGGATCTTCTACCTGGCATATTCTTGATAGTTTCGTAGTATCTTGATCCCTAAGGCCCTAAGTAGGACACTAAAATCAAATTCACTCATTTTTAAAATGAAGAGCAAGCGATTACCTAATTTTCACCATAGTTTATTACTAAATTGGTCCCTGGAAGAGTATGCAATAAAATGGTCTTCCTTACAGACATCGTCCAAGATCGTCTCATTCAATTTGTTATGTTGTTCGAGCACTCTCGTCTCAAGTACACCCTTCCAACTTCGTATATTTAAAATATCTGTGTTCCTTTATCTTCACTGTTAAAGGCACGTTTATGCCGTGTGTAGTTTGTCTCTTGCACACATAAACAGGGTGATCGTTTGTGCGTGCGCTGGTGGATTGTATGCGGACTAGATAGAAGGAAAAGGATCTAATAGCAGAACTGCAGTGATTGTGAATAAAAGGAGAGAAAGGCGGAGTGTGGAAGTGGAATTGCAACCAGGCCAGTCATCACAAAAGCAGTAGAGCTTGTACATTTCT